AAAGGCAGCAGGATGCAAATTTTTGTGTGCATAGGACAAGTATTGGGGGTGTGGTGCACTGGTTAACCTTGGGGTGGCCTGTTGATGAGATTCTGAGCACTTTGAAAGCATCAAACTTGCACAGGTGTGTGCCTGACGTCCACAACACAGGTATGGAGTAGGACACCACCTGGGAAGATTATGATATGTCTAAATAGCATGTTCCCAGCTGTAATTGATGTGTATTGCACTGTGAGCCGTGGTGTGCTTGCATTTGTACTGTTCTGAGGCCAAATTTCGATGTTTTTGACATTTGGAGGTGTATGTCATTTTCTTCCCACTGTGCATGAGGTTTTTAAACTTCTAGATGTTGTTTCCCAATGTAAATGCAGTCTATATAATATTTATAGGAATTTATAAGATGTGTAGAAGGTACAGGACAGTGTACAAGTTTCTATGTCTTCGCATTTTGAGGGTTTTGAGCTCCTGTATGCATTACTACATGTCCTAAAACACTCTGAATTGCTTCCCCATACTATTATGTACCCAGGGCCATCCCCATATCTTCCAAGCACTATAGAAGGTGTGAGAAGACATGTTTCTGATGCTTATTTTAAGTTTGAACACCATTTGATGCACAGTATGCTGTGGAGGCTATCAAAGACCCTACAGATCTATATACATACTCTCATGATGTATTACTATCTATGCTACTACTTTTCCTGAAGGTTCTGCAAGAGAGAAAGCCAGGGGAGCATGTGGAATGACTTGCAAAGCTAGATTCTCGCGATGGGCGCTTAATTAAATCCGGAAGCGCTACCATATATATCCAAAAAAGAACCGACTTTTGGCGAGTATTTTGCAAATAGCAGGCTAAATATTGATTTTTGACATATGTTTGATATAGCAGATATGTTTCTACATATGTTCTGCATCTTTTAACAAAAAATCGATAATAAGTGCCCAAACATGTTATGTCATATAGTACCTCCCATATATAGCATATGTTTAATAGTCTATTCTATGTTATATAGAGGTTCCAGACATGCTGAGAGCTGCTGGACAACCTTTATAGGTCTGGAATGGTCTAAAGCAGTTACTACAAAAGTTGCTAGTAAGTGATATATCACGCTGGGTAGTAACTGCAGGTATATCAAACTTGAAACCTGTCGTGGGCGTAGCCCCAGCCACCTATTATTTTTCCATTTTCCCCAATTTTCTACAATTTATTCCACGTTTATACGACCCTCCAAATGTTGTTGGCACATTGGCACCAGTTTGCAAGTTCTAGCCGCGCACTAGACACCTCGAGAATGCATCAGCGCATTAAACATGCCTGTTTTGCCACCGCCTTGTCACTGCATCATGCTTCATTGATAGCAGCTGCGCTCTGATTTCCACCGGACCTTCTATCTCCGAGTCTGATCGGCAACAAACATCTGATCCCCGTCAGCCCAACAACATCATATGCTATGACACACCAGCCCTCACTTCTCCACCGAGTCCCTTAGATACTAACGAATACCGTAGCACAGTCACTTAGGTAATACCTAGTCCATGCGTGATCTGAACAGTATATAAGGAGTCCCTTTGTTGCTACCTAGCTCCATCTCAACCTTTTAGTTGTTTGGGCTAGGTAAGCCTTCGTTTGTATTGTAGTACAGTCACTAATACAATTTGGTTCTTTGGGCTAGCTGAACAAGCTAACGCAATTGTTGCCAGACCTTCGTTAGCGCTGCCTTTTGTCAGATCCACCTAATATCCCTCATGGTGTGTCGACGTCAGTCCATATCAAAACCTGGGCTAATGCCTCAGACCACTGAACGTGTCTCAAAGTCAACAACGCCATTGCTGCATGAAGTTATCCCTCTTGTTGATGTCTTAACTACAGGCTTCAAAACCGCGGCCACTGACATCTCATTACTCAAGCCTGTGCAGGTCGCTGCAGCATGTGATGTTCAAATGCTGAATAGGTATTACAGAAAAACAGATGACTTGGTGATGTATCATATTGCCATGAGTATGACAGCCTGCTATATATCTACAATCACAGCTAATGCCAGGTATCTAGTTCTTCATCTCTAATACAAGCCCGAGTATTTCCGCCAGCAGAGCTGGCCCTCTGACTGGATTGAAGAGGCCAAGCACATATTCTGCAAGTAGTGGAAGCTCTATTACAAGCCTACCAGTGTGCAAACCACTACAAGAAATTCTTCTCAGGCAAGCTTGTTTGTTTTTAGTCAGTGTACATTGTAGGCTCACTATTTATAAATAAACATGGCACTCAATGTCAATGTCAATGACCTCTTTGCTGACATCAATGACTTCAACACATATACATCCTCAGACCCAACTACAGAGTACCTCAAGTCATTTACATTGGCTTACATTTCAGATCCAATTTAGTACTGGCATAGCCAGCTCACTGGCAGCCATTCTCTCACTCCTATAATACTTGACTTCTTGTTGGCTCCTGCTGCTTCCATTCTTACAGTGTCAAAGCGTCATCATGCTCTGTTGGACCAGTCAGTTTGTGCGGCAACTGTGCTAGGTTTGTGGATGGCCCTTCAGAGTATTTTTCCTGAAGAAAAGATGATAGAGATGTTCTATGACAAGAGTAAACACACTTGAAAGGCTCCGACTGATGGCCCAATGTATTTATTGATGCCAACAAAGATAAATAGACAGTAGTAGTAGCTATGTTGTATGTAGTAAATGTGTTAACTTTTGAGTGCATGAGTACTTAGCTTGAAACCTATATGCATAAGAAGACCGACCCAGATCTGTAAGGGATCCGTGAGAACGTGAGACTTGGATCTGTAGATCTCTCTACCTGTGGGTATTCTCATGGCTCTACTCACAAGTACTTGTGGGTGACCTGGACTCGTGCAGAGCTTGACATCACTTGTTGGATTGCACACTACCTTGCATATCGCCACCTTCTGGAAGTTCAGAACAATTTTCAAATTCTTTTGAAAAAAGACAAAAACCGCTCTGAAAGTTTGCTCATTACTGGGAAACCTGAGGCAAGAGCAAAAGCAGAACAAATGATCAAGCTTATGGAAACAGGCTATTTCTATGTAAGACCTGTAAGATCGTAGACTTAGAGATCACCCCGCAAGAGCCAGACCGTGTTGTATTCGCAAAGAGTAGCTACAACAGTGGGGTAAAAGTAAAGTCTGCTGAAACTGAGGAGCATCCCGACCTTATATCAGGCCGGAATGCTACCCAATAACAAATACATGAGCGAGCATAGAGAGGACATGTTTCCGATCAACGAGAGCACCAAGTTACAAAAAAGGAAGGTGTCTACAGTAAATGGGTGCTAAGTTGCGCGCCTTACACCCGCCTCCACAAGTCGAAGTTGCCAGGTCAATGAAGACAAAAACAAGACTAGAGCGCACTCGTATGGGGACGAGGAATGCTCAGAAACTCTGTGGCTTTGTCCTCAGGTGTGATTGAGTGAGATTGAGGGACACTCAACAGATCTGCAGTGTCATCCTCATACTCAATGAGCTTCAAATTACCGTCCGATACTTGGCCAGCAATCGACGAAGAGGATATGGAAGGACCCAGAGACAATAAAGTCTCCAGGTCTATTCCTGTTGCCCAGGCGTGGATGTCATCCACAGCCTGCAATTGGCCTGAAGGGAATGCAGTGGTTAGGGTATCAAAGAATTCCTCTATGGTGGACAGTGTCAACTCAAAGCCTACTGGGAACGTAGTAGTCTCCAAGATAGCTCTGATTCTCAACACGACATGAGTGCTGCGCTGAGTAGAAATGACCAAGTCAAGCCATTGCATGGCCAACTCGGCGGAGTCATTCATTGGACCCAGTTCAGCCACCAGCAACAGCCTGCGAAGGTGTATGAGCGATGGCTCACTTCTTTCGCTGTGGGGTACCCCTGGAAGGTGGTATTCCGGGTGCTCGCAAAGGAACAGTCTCCATTGTTTGACTTCATGAATGCTGAATATGGGGGGGTCCATGAAGGGAGTGTATGAGCCAGCGGTTGAAGGATGCATCAACTCTTAGGGCGTGTTTTCTCCAGTCATGGGCACGTCTTCTTCCGGGACTTGATTGCTCAGGTTGGGCTCCTGAGGATGGTTCTGGATATTTTCAGAATCATCCATCTTTGTGTCTTCGTCGATGATGGTGTCGGTGGTGCCCGTCCTGGTATTCTTGCCCGACCCTTCAGCAGCTACAGCCTGAGCTTGGTTTTGCTCACACTTCTGCCTTAGCAGGGTCTCGTGCTTTTCATGCTTTGCCTCTTTGTATCATGACGGCTTGTGCC